ATTTACATAATTAGTTTTCAGCTTTTCCATCAATATCAACAAGTAGTATGTACAAGTAATTTTGAATTAATTTTTAATGTGTCTCCAATACTCTCAGCACACGGGAGTTCTTTCTAAGCTTTCTTTGATTTCCCAGTGTGTGCAAAAGGCATTAAAAAAGTTGTCTTCTATAAAATATGCTATACACTCTTCAGCTTTGTTCCCTTTGGGTTATGAATACCTACTCATGACTGTCACGACGACATTACTATGTGTATACTCCGTGACTTTCTAATTATGTCTCCATTTAACTGAGCACAGCAGTACGTATACATCAAGTATTTTACCAAATTTTCTCATTCGACCTTCCAATCTCTGCCATAATTTCCTTACATTCTAGGAAGACTTTTATTCGGAATAACACATAATAGCCGCATTATGGTAATGAAGGAAACTAATACAAATTTAATTGTGGTTTTTCTTGAATTTTTTAAACCTATCCATGTATGCTCGCTAAAATATTTAGCTGTAATGAAATGGTCATGGCAAACACAAAATAATAATATTAGAGTGCTGTGAGTGTATTTATTAATAAAATTTATACAAATATTCGTAAATTTCAACAATTTTTTATTAGCGGGTTCTGTCATTAAAATGTACCATGAATCTTCACTAGACTATCAAACCTGATGGCCGCAATTTTTGTGACGGCAAAGACTGAATTATAGCTTTAAATGTAAACATGAGCATAATATTTGTTATTCCTGATTTTTAGCCAGTGCTGTGTTCAAATTTTAAGACGATAGATAGCAACTGAGTTTTATATTTCAGCATCGCAATGATCATTATATTGGTGATACCAGAGGTACATTACTTGGGGTTTGCAACTCGCATAGTACTGTATGATGGCATCATGTCAAGATCCCATTCAAGTCTCTTCTTGTAGATAGCGAGACTGAGACTACGACCTTCTGACATGACACATTACAATGTTCAAGGTTTGTAATGAAAAAATAAAACTTTTCTTGTCACTATCATAGTGAAAAATGCAATACATTGAAAATGTACAGAAAATATAGTTCTCGTAATCCGTCATATCGTGTGCAGCTATTTTGATCCACCTGGACATCCCAGTATCCTAGTTACCTCGTGCATGCGCATTCGTATTTTTCTGAGTTGGAACGCTTATGCGAGAGCGAGATTGTGATGGGATCTTGGTATCATGTCACCGTGGTTACAAACCCCAAGTAATGTACCTCTGGTGATACTCAATAACAATGTGTGAAATGGGATTGTATTAATGTGAAAGCCATTGCATGTTTGACTGGCATATGTAAGACACCATGAGTAATAAAATTTGGTCAAGCATACACAGTGGATGTATTGCTTTGATGATGCTTTTCCGCTTCTTTCTTCACAAGCCCTCTGTCAAATAATGTTAATTTCAGTTTGTTGATATCTCAATAAACACCGATAGGACAGCTTTATTAAGAAAAAAATTAACTTGTCAAGTACAGTTCAAATCATTACTTATTGTTTTCTAAACAGTGAGGGATATAGAAAAAGATAAAAATACTTTCCTCGGCTGAACTACTTGATAATGATACCGGATTTAAAGAGGCTTTTATGTCAGACCTGGTGTAAGTTGGAATACAGTATTTGCTCTAGCAGTGTCACATGTAAATGTTAGAGGTTTGTTTACGATCGAAATAATAATAATAATTTACTATACAACAAATGTGATTTCTGGTTTATATGCACTTATATTAGAGGTATGATTCTAATAGACCTAATATGGTACTCTTTTTTTTTCTCTCTACTACTTATATATAGTCAATTTAAGGAAATAGTAACAGTTGTATATGTTATGTTATTAAATTTTATGAATAATATTAAATATAATTTGTGACTGTCGTAAACCTGTATGTTGAGTTTTCTGACAGTTATATAATATAAACTGTACGACGTTAACAAGTCATAAAAATGCTACACTTAAGAACCATGGTTTATTCAATTCATCTTTATTAATGAAATATGAGATGTGATTTCTGTATTCATATGTCATAGTTCACCCTGTCTAGGCGAGTGTCTGTTCTACTGATTGATACCCTGAGAACAAATCAGTTGAACTCACATAGTAGTCTCTCATCATCATTGTCACCATAATTTTTTGGTGATTATCTATTGGCTAGCTTTCATTTTTGCATGTTTAGTATAGTCAGACATGGTCTTTACCCTTTCTTGACCTCCTAGAACTCTTCCTCCAGAAGTGGAAAAACCTTTCACAATGTTTCAATCATTCATCTGTATACATCCAACCATTTCAGTCCTGCTGCTACACATAACAATCCTGATAACAACTAGACCTTCCTTCATGGATGTCACTCACCCTTCCTCTATGGATGTTTCTCACCCCTCCTCCATGAATGTCCCTCAGCCCTCCCCCATGAATGTCTCTCACCCTCCTCCATGGATGTCCCTCACCCTCCTCCATGGATGTCCCTCACCCTCCTCCATGGATGTCCCTCACCCTCCTCCATGGATGTCCATCACTCTCCTCCATAGATGTCCATCACCCTCCTCCATAGATGTCCATCACCCTCCTCCATAGATGTCCATCACCCTCCTCCACAGATGTCCATCACCCTCCTCCACAGATGTTCATCACCCTCCTCCACAGATGTTCATCACCCTCCTCCACAGATGTCCATCACCCTCCTCCACGGATATCCCCCACCTCAACCTCTCCCTCTATGGATGTCCCTCACTCTTCTTCTCCATGGATGTCCCTCACCCTCCTCCATGGATGTCCCTCAGCCTCGCCCATGGATGTCACTCACCCTCCTCCATGGATGTCCCTCACCCTCCTCCATGGATGTCCCTCACCCTCTCCCATGGATGTCCCTCACCCTCCTCCATGGATGTCCCTCACCCTCCTCCATGGATGTCCCTCACCCTCCTCCATGGATGTCCCTCACCCTCCTCCATGGATGTCCCTCACCCTCCTCCATGGATGTCCCTCACCCTCCTCCATGGATGTCCATCACCCTCCTCCACAGATGTCCATCACCCTCCTCCACAGATGTCCATCACCCTCCTCCACAGATGTCCATCACCCTCCTCCACAGATGTCCATCACCCTCCTCCACAGATGTTCATCACCCTCCTCCACAGATGTCCATCACCCTCCTCCACGGATATCCCCCACCTCAACCTCTCCCTCTATGGATGTCCCTCACTCTTCTTCTCCATGGATGTCCCTCACCCTCCTCCATGGATGTCCCTCAGCCTCGCCCATGGATGTCACTCACCCTCCTCCATGGATGTCCCTCACCCTCCTCCATGGATGTCCCTCACCCTCCTCCATGGATGTCCCTCACCCTCCTCCATGGATGTCCCTCACCCTCCTCCATGGATGTCCCTCACCCTCTCCCATGGATGTCCATCACCCTCCTCCACGGATATCCCCCACCTCGACCTCTCCCTCTATGGATGTCCCTCACTCTTCTTCTCCATGGATGTCCCTCACCCTCCTCCATGGATGTCCCTCAGCCTCGCCCATGGATGTCACTCACCCTCCTCCATGGATGTCCCTCACCCTCCTCCATGGATGTCCCTCACCCTCCTCCATGGATGTCCCTCACCCTCCTCCATGGATGTCCCTCACCCTCCTCCATGGATGTCCCTCACCCTCTCCCATGGATGTCCCTCACCCTCTCCCATGGATGTCCATCACCCTCCTCCACAGATGTCCATCACCCTCTTCCACAGATGTTCATCACCCTCCTCCACAGATGTTCATCACCCTCCTCCACAGATGTCCATCACCCTCCTCCATGGATATCCCCCACCTCAACCTCTCTCTCTATGGATGTCCCTCACTCTTCTTCTCCATGGACGTCTATCGCCCTGCTTCATGGATGTCTCTTACATATATTGTAGTTTTCTTGTGAACACAATCCAGTCCTAAACTTACATGTATGATTTAAATACTATTTACTGAAGTGGGCAGGGATAACTCGTAATAATATAATTTTTGTTGGTATTTAAGTAAACTAAATAAATATGGCTGCCATGACCTAGCTGTCAATGAACGTTCACCTTGTATAGTTGTCAATATGTATTGTAATATTTGGAAAATTCTGAACAGTGAACAAAAATGAGTATATCACTCTATCCTTGACCTCAGGTTTATTGCTTTCTGCAACATTTAATTAAGTTTCACCTCTTTATTAACTTTATTAACTTTGTTCAGATTTGATTGAATATGTTTTGTGTCATTGATGACTTACTCAGAGTTGATAAACACATTTTAGTGAATAGGTTAACCTATATAAATATTTGTTGATGAAAAATCAACTTTATCATTAAATTTCTGTGAAATATTAATTTTTGTATCCCTAGATACAATGAATTAGAAATGGATGCTTATTCGTTGATGTGTACATATACTAGTTGTAGATGTTTTAGTACTGCACTGTTATTGATTAGACTTTACTTGAATGTTGAGTATTTCTTATGGCATGCTATAGTTATGATAGTACTTATTAGGTACATGTACTTTGCATGGTAGATTGCATAAAAGATTTTCTCTGCCAAATATATTAGTTCAGCTCTGAAAATTTCTGTGAATATAAACTAAATATGAAACCAAGTTGACGGAATATGACATTACTTATTGGGTTTGTTAGAACAGCATAGTTAGCGAACCATAATAGACAGTGTAGGAACCGAAGTGGAAGCAAGGACTTTCACCAAATTGTTGTTTTTAGCTTGCTACAAGTGGTCTTGATCCATCAATGCCAGCACCAATTAGCCTGGTACAGATATCATCTATATTATAAGCTCAATCATTCTGACATGTCAGTTTGACCTTTGCCCTACAGTTTATCAGATCTATCCAACTACCCAAAGTAATGTATGCAGACATTATACTACATGTACATTATTACTTATGGATTATAATAAGTGATTTTCCGTTCAACTGCGAGATCTCGCGAGATGCATGAAAGACAGGCGTCGAACGTCTGCCGCAAAAAATCAAACAATTTGATTTTGAACTTGAATTTCTTTATTTCGTAGCTCACATCGACCAGCCGATCTTCGACAGAGGAATATTGCTTTTGAATACCCTCACTTAATCGAAATTGTCTATCATCAAATGTGTACAGCACATTATTAGTCCCCGTTCGGACGAAGTCCAAAAACGAGAACTTATAATTTGGTCTCCGTCTGTGCGTCTGTCTGTCTGTCCGTCCGTTCGTCCGTCCGTGTGTCAGTCTGTACAGAGTCATATTTCAGAATCCTTTGGACCGATTCCGTTCATTCTTTGCATGTGCCTAGTACTTTATGTGGGACATATGCACATGCAGTGGTTTAGCGATTCGATTCAAGATGGCCGACTAGCAGCCATCTTGTTTTTTGGACATGCTTTGTCAGTTTTCATTCAAACTTGGTACGTAGATTATACATGTTAGGATACATGTCCATGACAATTTATTTCGCAATTGGATCGAAGATGGTCAACTGACAGGCATCTTGTTTTTTTTATATGCGGTATCTTGGACGTGCTCTGTCAGTTTTCATTCAAATTTAGTACATACATGTACTTTATACATGTTATGATGCATGTCCATGACAATTTGTTTCAAAATCTAGTCAAGGATGGCCGATTGACAGCCATCTGATATTTTGGCCTTACTACTATATTTCCACAATTTATGTACCATTTTCATTTGTATTTGGCACATACATCATACATATCAGTGTGTTTCATAATCAGATCAAAGATGGCAGAATAACGGCTGTTTTTATTTTTGGCCATATTACTACTACACGGAACACATGTTTTGATGTAAATAAACAATCTGTTGTATACGCTACTTGGAACTCAAGTTTCAAGGACACGCTCGGGACAACCCTTCCGCTTTAATATGATGAGCACAAAAGGAACTTTCAAAAATTTAACGGGGACTGTGTCATTTTCAATGACTTGTTAAACATGGAAATGCCCCCCAAAATATGTTGGCGTTTGTCGAATCCCGCGCGTTATTTGACTCCACTATGACGCTATGACCTTTGTTTGTCCTGTTTTTACGTTTGATTTCACACATAATGCGTGATTCTCGCATTGAACGGAAAATGGTCTATTAAATATAAATTTGATTCACTATATTTATGCTAATAGACCCTGTGTATATTTGGTATTTAAAATGTCGTTGACTAGATGTAAGTGGGCGTATTAGAGCATTGCTAATTGCTAAGTTTGTGGTAGATATCGGTGATAGGTGTAAACAGTGTATCACTATTCAGCATATGACGGTACAATATGCTGTTATTGCGAAGGTCACAAAAATATTTCTAACAAATGAACTGACATAACCTAGAATGTTATTCAGTGCATGAAACAGATAAAATATAGTCAATGTGAGCAAATGAAAATAATAGTTTCACCACCAGTTTCCTCTTTTCATCACAAGCTCACAAAATATTTGCCATTTATAGTCTGCACTTTCCTTCAGAAGATTGGAAGAAAAATAGCCAAATTTTTTGAGTCAAAACTGTAAATTGACTCAAAAATTAAGGTTCAGTTCCAAAAATCTTGAAGAATATAAGAAAAACGTGCATACAAATTTGAGCGAGAATGTCTGGTGGTAAAAAGGTTAAACCCCAACTGTGGTATTTCACTGATTGGTTGTGAATTCAGAGAAACTTGTATATACCAATAACCTTGCCAAATAATTTCAATGTCACAATGTACATGTACATGTATGTCGGTAATTAACTTTTGTTTTTTATTTGTATCGAGCAGCTTCATGAATCATACACCAGATTAAGTAATGTTTATAGTGACATCATTTTACACAATTACATAAAATCATTTTCTCAATTTCTGACAACAGATTCTATGATGTCATACTTTACCCATAATCCTTTGCTTGAGAATCAAGATGGCTGACTAAATAATACTGATGAAAAGTAGAATATCTAGAGAATGAAAAGTGATATAAAAAAACTGTAAATTGCATTCTTCTACATTTGTGGAGCTTTTTCTTTAGGGGTCATTATGTTGTTTGGCCTGTTTCCTTTAACAGCTAAGCAATGTGTTGGTTTTCCCTAAGTCACAAACTTAAATTGTTTTTTTTTTTTTTGGTGAAATTAGAGCTGTCTTGTTCTCACTGACCATGCATTGTTTGTTCTTGTACTGCAATACAGATCAAGGCTAAGCTTATTGATTCTGTGTGTTAGTTATTTCTACTTCATCACATTGTTGCCATTAATACTGAAAACATGATTGTGATTTAGCATTATGACTTGATGACATAGGTTAGACAATATTCACTCATTCCAGCTGTGATTCTCTTTCCCTTGATGATACGTTTCTTTACTTGATGCCTATCATGTGAGAACACCATAGAAATACATAAATAGTAATATCATTAGGGTTTTTATCATCTATGCAATTTGAATGCTTGTCGCATCTTTGTGAGTTATGAAAAACTAATGATATGAACATTGCCATTGTGCAAATGAACCGTTATTTGCTTTGAGATAAAATCCCCCCCCCAATAGATAAAAATGTTTGTTACACATCTCAAGATTCCTGTTGATCAATGACTAAATTAAATTTAACATCTACATTTCTACATATGTGTAGAGCAAATAAAATTGTCACTATTATGCGTACCCCTAAAATACTCAGATAGAATGAAATATTGTCATTGTTACAGTGGAGCCTGTTGTAATTTTTTAATGTACACTGAAATAAATAATGACATAACATATCATGTTTTGCCCAAAAAAAATGCTTAGCACTATATAATTGTTGCATGCATTTGTATGCTTAATTAGTCACGGTTATTGAAATTGTATTATCATATTAAGCTGATCAGTTATTCATGAATTGTTGCTGCATAAATAACACTTTTCTCTCACCTAAATTGTTGTGCAATATTTTGCATATTTTTGATTATTTCTTCATTGGTTTGGACCAAATGACATAATTTCCAAAAATTTCTAATCAACATTATAAAAAAAAAATATTGGTTGGTTTATTTTCATAAAAAGTAACACGATTTGACTGAAGGGTTTGTCTTATGGCAGCAGTGTGTGTAAATGGCCGTTATTTGATTCTGTGGACAGAGGTAATGAAACCTGAAGATGGGTCTCATGGAAGATAATGAATATTCATTGGATTATAGGACTATTAGATACACTGTTTCCATTTCATACCATTATGCAAATTCATGGGGGTTTGAGGGAAATGAAACCTTTATAGAAAAAAAAAGTTATCATGTTAAAATAAGACATCGCCAAAACATACTGAAAAAAAAGCCAAAATAAATATTATTCTACCCTGTAGATGACAGCTTTTAACAGTATAATCGTTTTCTGCAGTCTTCCCAGAGGATTAGTTCATTCTACATGTATACTGTAACATGAGGTGCATATTAACATAGTTGGAGTAAATCAGTGATGAAACAACGGTTTCTAGAAGAAGTAACCGCGATGAAACCGATAAAAGAAATCCTGTATTCATTTTGTTGGTTAAGTGACCACATTTGGTCGCCATATAATATTTGCTGTAGCATTACAGGGGTCAGATTTTAACTAACACTAGTCAGGCATTATATATCATTTATATATGTAGATGGAACAATAGGTTACCAGTTCTATGCTCTTATTGTTTCCCATGTTCCATGCTCTTATTGTTTCCCATGTTCCCATATTGTTTTGTTTGATTTATTTGTGTATTACTTACTGGTAACAACAAGCACTATTATGGATCTAGAAACTCAAAATCTCATAAGGGCTGAGGTGACAGTGATAAGTCTTGGCCATACCAGGAAGCTATCGTTCTTTATCTGGTGGTCTTGGCAAAATATACCCTGTTAACACTGCTGAATGAGCAGTCGACTCAGGAATTAGACTTGTATCCTCTCTGATAGAAGGTAAACACGTTAACACTAC